AAAATATAGTATAATATCAAAATTGATTAAACAGTTACCCGTTAAATTAATAAATATGACGTAAATAAAAATCAAAGAAAAACTATACAACTGACATGTTCATAAATTAAAGTTAACTTATAGACAAATATTTTTAGAAAAACTGGTTGTTGAAATGTTAAATTATTTTTATTTTTATCATTATTTTGTATAAATATTTATAGAAAAAATTGTCTCAATTTATCTTTTTTTTTCAATAAAAATAACCTAATAAAACAGCGTTCAACTATTACTTTAGGTCAAATTTTTTTTTCTTGGATATTTTTTGAATAACATGTCATCATTCCTTCATCTTTTTTCATAGGAGTAAGTCAATTCAAAAACAGGATAAGAACTTATTCTTCTAAAAAAACATATATGAGAATTATTTGAACATAACAAACAATAAAAATTATAAAATGATGTAGACTAACAACCAAGCAATTTAATTATAATATCAGTCACACAAGAAATATGATTGAAAGTAAGATATTGTTTGCAAAATGAGGACCTGTTGCATCAATTGCCAATGCCAGCAAGTGATTTGGTGAAGAAAATTATGCAACACCTATTATATCTAACTATTAAAAAGAACAAACACAAATGTTAGGTATTGATTTCATTGAATTTCAACCCAAGAATAAAACTTATCAATCTTCAATCTTCTATTTATAAATTAACATCAAAGAACAATGATGGATTAATACTAACTAATTTGACGAAGATGTTCTTAATTTTTCAAATAAAACTGTAATTCCTCGTATTAAATAAACTTAATTGTTTGTTAGAAAAAATAATATTTATTTTAATATGGTCATGAGTTCCATCTTATTTAAGAATTAAAGTTAATAATAATTTATATACATTTCTCTCTCTTAACTCATCAACGTGTCTTTTAAGAATAAAATTATGAAAAACAAAAACTCTAAAATAGATAATATTTCGCACAAAGTCGAATAAATTTCTTAATACAAATTTATATATAAAAAATAACTAACAAAATTAACAACAAAAATATATTTTAAGATAAAATTATTTTTTATGTTTTAAAGAAAGAGATTCTTGATGAAAATAAATTGATTTTAATTTATGAAAATAATTATTCATGTTGATTTCTTTTTCTTCTCCATCTATTATTCAAAAATTGTCAGAAGAATAAAACAAACAAATTACCACAAAGTGTTTAATCTTCCATACATTTATGATAAAACCCTAAAATCAACACAATTACAAAGTGTTCACGTCGAGAAATTATGTTCTTCTTTGTTTTTTACTGCATTTATCATAATCATCAATAAGGCATCTTATAAATTCAATAAATAATAAAAAAAAGGTATACATTGATGTCCTACAACTTTTATTTTATTTTATTTTATTTTATATGTTTAATTATTGATAATAATTTTAAGGCCTGTACTATAGGAAAATACTAACACTTCTTTTCACATATAATATACTCCTAAACTTTTTAACATTATTTTATTTTTCAATGATTTTTCCTAATATTTTTAAAATCAAATTTTATAAGGATACTTTTATTATAGCCAATTTTAAAGCGAGTCTAATTTAATTTGCTATGTTATAATTTGCCTAACTAAGGTGGGTAGAGCATATTTACCAACTAATAATAGACGGAAAATCATGTTCTACTTCGTTTGTTTTGAGTTGTTTTGAAAAAAAAAAAAAACAAAGAAAAAAAAATTAAAATTCTTATTTAAAAAACAATCTAATTTGATATGTGTAGTGAAAACATCACATTAAAAATAGATTAAAAATATGTTCAAGATTTTTTTGACAAACATATAGTTTTGATATATTTTCGAATACACGTTTTTCTATAGATATTATAGGAATTAAATCTATTAAATATAATTAATAAAAACAGGAGACATTTCTCTTAAAAAAAAACACTAAAAATTTAACATAATCTTAGCCCTGTTTTCTAAATTATTTTTTTCATTTAAAAAAATTAAAACAATAACTATAAGAATTCATCGAATTATGTCAAAGAGATATAGATCATGATTCTTGGGATTAATAGATGAAAAAGATAAATTAGGAGAGTAATAATTTAAATCTAATTCCTTATTTCTAATTAGTAATTACCCATGTTATCATTCATTTTCATCTGAATATTTGTTGCAACACAGGTTAATATACAAAACATGAAATCAATAATTTTTTTATAACCCTACAATGAAATTCATAGAAAAGAAACCAATTTAACAAATTTTCTTAATTAGCAAACCCTTAAGAAAACAGTTAATGCAAAATGGTTTAGTAATATATAAGTTCAATTTAAAAACCATTGTTGATAATACTCTACGTTTGCAGACTTTTTTTCATAAATAATATTGTTTTTAAAAATATTTTCCAAAATAGCACATCTGTAACTTTATTTACACAACTAGCACTGTTTACTGTTCACGTAATAAAATAATATTATTTCGCGCAACTGTTTACTGTTCACGTATTAAAATAATATTATTTCGCGCAATGAACTCTCGCTCAAGCGAAGAAACCCCTCGCTTGAGCGAGGAAATCTGTAACAAAGGGGTAATCTCGGGTCAATTATCGCTCAACCGAAGAAACCCTTCGCTTGAGCGAGCAAATCCGTAAGAAAGGGTTATCTCCGGTCAACTCTCGCTCAAGCGACGGATATTTCGCTTGAGCGAGAAGTGATTAAAATATGTGGTGACCCAAGTTGCGTTATGTGGCTAACTGCGTTGGACGTTTAGCCAAATAATGCAACTTGGGTCACCACATATTTCAATCACTTTTCGCTCAAGCGAAAATACCCGTCGCTTGAGCGATAGTTGACCCGAGACTTAGGATAGCGGTTCTAGAACTAACCGCTATTAAAAATATATTTCAAAAGACTTCAAAAAATTGTTGCAAATCCTTCTTGAAAAAGTGCTAAGATTTGCTTGAATGATTGCTTAAGGATGTGTAAAAACTGATATTCAATGTATGTTTAAAAAGTTCAAGCAAACTGATTTTAAAGAGTATTTTCAAAACTGTTGCATTAATTAATCTGTTGAAAGTTTGTTTTAATCTGTTGAAATAGCCGTTTCAATCTGTTAAAAGTCCTTTCAATCCATTAATACGTTCTTGATTCTTTAACAGATTTGTTTTAGCTGATACTACAACGGTTATATCAATTAAAACACTTTACAAAACTTTTCTAAGTTTGATTCAATCGATTGTTTCGTGTTTTAATCGATTGATATACTGCAAAACTTTCTTATAAAACTTTCCAAGTTATTTTAGCTGATAAAAAGAAGTTTTAATCGATTAAAACTTTGTACAAAATTTTTCCAAGTTGTTTTAATCGGTTGAAACGCGTTTTAATCGATTGAAACTCTGTACAAAATTTTTCCAAGTTATTTTAATCGATTGAAATGCGTTTTAATTGATTGGAACAGATCTGATCGGTCATAATTAAATTCTGATCGATCATAACCAACTCTGATCGGTCATAACTGCATTCTGATCGATCATTCTGACCCGTTAAGCGATTTTAATCGATTGAAACGTGTTTTAATCGATTGAAATAAGTTCTGATCGCTCATATTTCAAATCTGATCGGTCATAATGGGTTCTAAAGGGCTTTAATCTATTAAAAGTAATTTGTATCGATTAAAATACTGTAAAAACACTTCTTTGATCATTCTAAGCCACTCCACAGAATTGATGCTTGACAGCCCCACAACCTCAAGCACTTTAACCCCGAGTAACCAACCAACCATCGATCAAGAAATTTTAAATTCTCTTTACATGCTATCATCCCCATATTCACCTTCAATGAATCAATTACGATCAACTCCAGTGTAAAACAATACGTAAACAAGATAATTTCATAAACGAACAAACTCCCCTTTCAGCAACATCATATAATGCAACCTGGGTCACCTGCAGGTTTTCTCGCTCAAGCGATGAACTTCTAGCTCGAGCGAGAATTGACCATAGCTAAATGTCCAATGCAGTTAGCCACATAATGCAACCTGGGTCACCACATATTCGCTCAAGCGAAGAGTGTCTCGCTTGAGCGATAGTTGCCCACTATATGTCTCACTTTTAATAGCGGTTAATATTTTAACCGCTCTTAGAAGTAACATATAATAGCGGTTCCACGTTAACCGCTATCTTAAATATATTTTTAATAGCGGTTAGTTCTAGAACCGCTATCTAAACCCAAGTTGCATTATTTCGCTAAACGTCCAACGCAGTTAGCCACATAACGCAACTTGGGTCACCACATATTTTAATCACTTCTTGCTCAAGCGAAATATCTGTCGCTTGAGCGAGAGTTGACCGGAGATAACTGCGTTCTTACGGATTTCCTCGCTCAAGCGAAGAGTGTCTCGCTTGAGCGATAGTTGCCCACGGTCCAACTATATGTCTCACTTTTAAGAGCGATTAATATTTTAACCGCTCTTAGAAGTAACATATAATAGCGGTTCCACGTTAACCGCTATCTAAAATATATTTTTAATAGCGGTTAGTTCTAGAACCGCTATCTAAACCCAAGTTGCATTATTTCACTGAACGTCCAACGCAGTTAGCCACATAACGCAACTTGGGTCACCACATATTTTAATCACTTCTCGCTCAAGCGAAATATCTGTCGCTTGAGCGAGAGTTGTCCGGAGATAACTGCGTTCTTACGAATTTTCTCGCTCAAGCGAAGGGTTTCTTCGCTTGAGCGATAATTGACCCGAGATTACCCCTTTGTTACAGATTTCCTCGCTCAAGCGAGGGGTTTCTTCGCTTGAGCGAGAATTCATTGCGCGAAATAATATTATTTTAATACGTGAACAGTAAACAGTTGCGCGAAATAATATTATTTTATTACGTGAACAGTAAACAATGCTAGTTGTGTAAATAAAGCAAGTGATTTTTCGGCACATTGATGATGATGATGATGACCTAACCACACACCAAACATTAGGTCCCTTGCCACGTAGATCACACTCAAAAGGATGACGAAGCTTAGCCTTACGCAATCCGATCCTCACCGACACTCGTTGCTTACATCTGCACCTTTCATTTCTCTCTTCGTTTTCAATTTTAAAACAAAATTAAATCAAATTAAAACCAACACAAGAATTTGCTTTTCTTCCCACACACTTTTTTGTCCATGTGATGATGTGTTAATAATAATTATAATAATGATTTGTAGGAAATTGCTAGTGGAAAGATGAGTAATGTCTTACTCGGCCACAATTATAATAATAATTCTAACATTATTTTGATTTGTAAAATGAGATTACTTATAATATTTTTCCAAAAAGGTGATAACTAATAAAGGCAATTGGACACACCATTTTATTATAGTTGTGGCTCCCTTTGATAGAAGAGCACGTAGTTTTCAAGTTATTATTGTTAATTTAAACTCACTCCAATTAATGTACATTACTTATGTTATTACTATATTTGTTTCGTCCAATTAAAAGGTTAGTGTTTAAATCGAGTTTTTTAAAGTTAAAATCATTACAAAAGCCGAAGAAGTTTTAGTTTATTTGTGATTCATTAAATAACATTTAACTTGGCTTAAACATGTATTAATTCTGTTTTATATCAAATAAAAATATTTGTATAATAATTTATTATTATTACATATATATATATAATAAATATAATTAAAAAATAGAATATAATTAATATAATCATACTTTATAAATGCCATATATTATTAATATGTAACCTTGATTTTGTTTCTTTTGGCTTTTTTTTTTATATTTTATTTTTTTAGGGATATATTTCATTTACTGTAATTCAAACCGTAGAGAAAAAGATGTTGGTTTAAAGTTATTTAAACCCTATTTTTTCAGGGTTAGTTAAAACATTCACACACCACACCACGTGTTCAAGGTTGTCGATTTAAATCCTTCCATAGTCAGTATTTATTTAATTCTATTTCTTCTTCTTAATTTTTAGTAATAAAATATAATGTAGTTAACCCTTGAAGTGGTCCTTTTTTAATTAATTTGTATTTTATTTTATTTTCATTATTTTTTCTTAATTAAAGTAGAGACCAATACATTTTTTAATAAAAAGAATAAAAATTAAATTAATAAAAAGTACAGACCATTGTGGTAGAGAACAAAAATTAAATAAATTAAAAACAAATGTTAAAAATAATATAAATCTACAACATAAATAAATATTATAGAAATAAATATCTGGAGCCAATTATTTTTACATGGGACTTTAATTTTGGATTTAGATTATTGTTAAATTCTCAAATATCAGACATAATTATAATTTATTATAGATAATTGTTGTACATAAATATAATGTAATCAATTATTTATTTATTTATATATAAATAAATAAATAAAGTACAACAAACTTTGTGAGTTCTCTCTATTTCTTTTTGGATATTGAATTTTATTAATCTAGTTTCTTTACGAGATTAGTGAAGATTATATTTACAAGGTTTACTATTACAGCTATTGAAATATAAATCAAAGATGGTGACATTTTTTAATTAAATTAATTTGTTTAATTATTGTTATTATTTTAAAATTATAGTCATATATTTTATTTATAAAAATAATTTTAAAAATAATTATTATTGTATTTATATAATAATGGTTAGTTCTAAATTGTTATATGTTTTATTAATTTACTTTAATATATTATTTTCTTTATTTAAAAAAATACATAAAACAACAATTATTATTTTCAATATTATTGTGTGTTCTACGTTTAATGAAGATTGTTAATCATCATTAAAAAGATAGTTTTAATGACAATTTGATCAACAATGTATCTTTAACTATTGTTAAAACTCCTTCTAGATGATATAAGTAAAATAAATACACAAATTTTTATCTACTTTAGATTAATAACTCATTATCAAAAATAAATCAAACATAAGAAAATATTGAATTATGTATTCAGTCAAGATTAACTTTAAAAATAAATTAAAAATAGCCTGGCTTGGATTCCAGTGACTTAGAAAGCTAGAGATGATTGACAAGAGTTGATTACACAATAAATTACTTAATAAGTATATAATTAATACAATATTTTATATAAAATATGTATAATTATCCATGATAAAAAATTTCAAGGCATTTTAAAATGTTGATTATATTAGTAATCTATGTAAATGTTAATAGAAAATATTCTGAAAATTTAAATACATATTTTTTTCTTTAAATATTTTGTTACGAAAGAAAAAATATTTATCTCAAAAATAAAATTATAAAAAAATATTTATATATAAAAAAAAGATGTCATTATCTTTTAAAAAAATAGATAAAGAAAAATATAACAAATATGACAAAGATAAATAAACTAAGGCTTCAAAGTCTTCCGGAAATGTCCACTGCGAACCTGGAGCAATATGCAAAGAAAGTCTATGAACATCTCGAATTAAGGTTGCATTGACCCCTTGTGGGTAGCTGACTCAACAATAACTTAACAACTAAACCAAATATTATTCAAACCCGATTCAAAAATTGACGCAATTCATAATTAACTAACAATGCACCAAAAACTTAAAAAACAAGAAAAAAAAATTTAAAATATTGGGTTGCCTCCCAGGAGCGCTTGTTTAACGTACCAATATTATTAATCACAGTACAGTATTTCAATTAAATAAAAGTCAATCCTACGAGGAACGGTTTCACTGAAAATTCTGAATCATATGTTTACTAAGTGTATTAACGTAAAATGAGTCTTTCATAAACGTTTGGATTGAAAACAAACAATAAAAAACTATAAAATATATTTAGAAAAGATGAATTATGAGAACTTAGGATTGACTTACTTTCTTTTCCCTCTTTTGCATAATGGTTAGGTCAAATTCATAACATTAATTAACCTATCAATGTTGATGTCACCTACTCAAATCATTCACATCGATTCCTTAAACATGAAATTCATAAGAAAACCTTGTAAATATAGATTCCTCATACATTTAATAGATTTTCCAGCATTAGGGTTAGAGTGTTAAGCAATTGAAACATCCATTACCATCCCTAGCAATCAACGTATCAAATATTTTTAACCTAACCAACGGTTTCAAGATATATTTTCCAATATATATGAACATCCAAGATAAAAGCATTACCATGCATAAAGGATAAGAATAATAACATCAAGAACATAGATTAATATATCAAAATATCACCAAGATACAAAAGAGTTCAAAGGAAATGCACTTAATCCTAAGATAATGAAGTTAGCCACTCATGATGACCATTACAATGATCCAAATGAAGAAGAATTGAAGATTGGACGAAAACTCAATCAGCTGCTGCGCCTTTCTTCTCAAAACCCCCCAAAAACTTCCTTTCTCAAAACACATCTTATCTATTTTTAGAAAAATTTCGCGTCATTCGTTCAAGCGGAACTTTTTGCTTAAGCGAGTAATGGTAATTTTCACTCAAGCGGGAATCGTTCGCTTGAGCGATTGAATTCCCGAGATTTTTAACGTATTTTTGCTTAAGCGAGCGTCCGCCTCGCTCGAGCGAATGACTTCCAGAGAGTTTTAATGTATTTTCGCTCAAGCAAGCGTCTACCTCGTTCGAGCAAATTTTAGGCTGAAAATATTCTTTCCTTTTTTTCAATTTTTCTTCAATTAACTTGAGAATTATGATCCTTGTTCTTGTACCTAGTTATTCTATAAATTCATCCTACATCGGGAGAAGAATGGATTAGAATTAACATAATTTAAGTGGTTAAATAACAATTTAAAGCATAATTACATCAACTTTTGCTACTTAACAGGGATTAAAAAGGTTTTGTAAATTCTTGGACAAATTCTCTCAAGGGAAGGTGGATGATGAATCCTTGAGTCCCCATGAGGAGAAAAAGGTCATTCCTAGGAGGATCACCAGAAGCATGACTAGAAGAGAAGCCTCCTCCCCACCTTATCTCTTAATTTACTTAGTATTTTTCCTTCTCTTAATTTCCTAGACTCATTTAAATCTTGTTTTTGGAAGATTACTAAAGAATATCTCTCTTTTGAAGTCCACCACCTTTCTTGGAGGAAAAGAGCCTTTGGCCCAAGCCTTTGAAGCATAGATAACTCATGAGGGAAGAGAAGATCAATCATTGACCTTCTAGATGAGAAAGATCACAACCTTGGAGAGCAAGGCAAGGAGGCAGGCCCTTCTAGGTTAAAATTAGGGCAACATGTGCTTCTAGAATCCCTAATGTATTTCCTTCTAGGTCCCTCACCCATGGCTATATATAGAAAGCTCCCACCTCTTATAAATTGTTAGAAATTGAATGAAAATTTAAGAGTTATACTCTTGAGTGTTCTCCTGCTCTTGAGTCTTATCTTGAACCTTGATTTAAGTGGTGATAATCTTCACTCATCTTGGTTGATCCATTCCTAAGTGGTGTGCCATCATTTCATCCTCACCCCCGCTTCTTCTTTTCTCCATTATATTTTCATCTCTCTTTTCATTTATTATTGTGGTTGGTCCTTCTTTTCCAACCCTTGGTTATTTTATTATTTCTTGCTTGAATTCTCTCTTCTCATTTCTTGAATCCTTGGAATTATTCCTTCATACCTAGACAAGGGATTATCTTAGTATCCAATGAAAATCTTCCTTAGATTTTCTCTACTTAATTATCTTAAACACCTTATGTGTTTAACCTACACACTGCACTTATAATAAATGACAAACATGCCATGCATGGTTAACTTCCTCTACCACCTGAACCATGTTTATATCACCTAACGTTTAAAGAAAGTTTTCACAAATCAAAATACCATAGATAATGAATGCAAAGTTTAAGCTCAAATTTCTTATAGCTAAAATATTCAAAGATGTATAATACAATATTAACAAAGTTTGAAAAATATAAAAGGATTCTATTATAAATATATAGAGAAATTAGTTGTTATGTTTACATGTTTGTAAGTACTTATACATATGAGTTTGAAAAATGATAATTGTTGTGATCGTTGAGAGAACGTTGAGAAAATATCATTTTCTATGTGATAAAAATAAAGAATATCATCTTTATGAATTAAATAATATTTAATGTATTTTCTTGACTAACTTCTTGATAAGATAACATAACTTATTTATCTTTAATTAGTAGGTTGTTTCTAACATGCATAACAAATTGATGTGTAGTAGAAGATTTTTTTTTTCATGTCTTTTTACCCAGGATGCGTTTTGTTATGGTCCTTGGTCCAACATCATGTCTTCTTGACCTTTTTCCAACATACTATTTATATATAAATATTGAAAAGTTAATAACATTTATGGTCATAAAAACACTTAACTTTTCTTATATTATGTATTTATAATGTAAGTATTACTTCGTTCAATTTAGACCTTAGATGATATATCGTCTAAAGCTATGTAACATATCATTAAGATATATGATAATGTGTGGTCTACTTTAACTTATATATGATGCAAGTCTAATGTTGAGACTTTATTAAATGATTTTTTCTCTAATTAAAACCTATTTATTTATTATCTATATTGGGATTTTAGATGATACTTCATATCATGTCTCAAAACTTATTTATTTGTATGTTATTAATTAAAATAAAAATTTTAACGATATTTGGTCAAACACCCTTCTTGGGGTTGCCATGCGGTTGAAAACAAATATAAACTCTAAGCTTAATTTACATAAATTAGTGAAAAAATATTGTTTATAACGATTATTTTAGATTTTTTATGTCGATTTTACAAACGACATAAATTCGGACAACATAGAAAATATCAATTATTAAATAATCAACATAGTACGTAAGTACTTACTATGTTGATTCTTAACATAACCGTCATAACAAATTTTGTGTTAAATCTTTTATATAATCATATTTCTTACAAATATTTTATCAAACAGTTTTAATATAACAAATTTCAAACATTGAACACAAGTATTATCCATATACAAAAAATAATTAAACATAAAATGTAGATATTTTCACTTAAATTGGATGAAAAATCATTTATAAAAGGAAAACTCATAATAATAATGGTAATATAACACAGTAGAACATTCTATTAAACCAAATCAAGAAATAAACTAATATAGAAAAATTAGATATTTCATATTTTATCTTTATTGTAAATGAGGAAGAAACAAGATTAGGGAAGAGGTGATTCAAGCATGAGAAAAACAAAAGTAAATGAATGTGATGAGGAAACAATGAAACAAAAGAAAGAAGAAGTTGAGTCAACATTTTTGATGTACAAGGGAAAAAAATAGAAAAGGAGAAAGATGAAGAAGATAAAAGAAGTTGACAATTTTAAATAAGATATTTGTTATGATAATTCAAATTGAACTGTCATAATAAGTACTTTCTATGTTAGTTTAATTTTGAACTGTCACAGTAAGTATTTATTATGACAATTCAATTTTAACCAACAGAAAAAGTATCTCATTTAGAATTAATAAAGTCACTTTTTAGTCGATTCAAAATTAAATCGTAATAATAAATAATTATTATGACGGTTCAAAATTAAATCGACATAAAAAATATTTAAATTTACAAACATAGAGTCTATTTAGTATGAAACATTAAAAAATCATAAAAAATAAGTTTTATTTACAAAATTACCATAAATTAGAATTGTCATATGAAGTCTGTCATAAAATGATATTTTTTTAATAATAATAGTCTACTTTGCAAACAATTTACAAAAGTTTTATTATACAAAAATATTATTACATCAGGGTTTATCTTTATAAATGAGATTAATTTCATTTATGAAAAAATCCATTATGTTTACTATATCACCCGAATACACAAATATTCTCTTACAAATCAGTGATAGTTTATTTCAAGTATTATTCTTTCAATTGTTCATCCATTTATTATTATTACCTACTCTTTCACTCGAGCCTTCTTAGAGTGACAAGAAATTTTTGGACTTAGGTATAATGTCTAATAAATATAGATATGGAAATAAGTTCATTATTAGGTTTCACAATAATATAAGATAATAAGAATATAAGATAATAAGAATTATAAATTAAGAGTAGAGATGATTTGGTTGTTTGTGTGCATTTCAAACTTTGGTAGTTTCAAGTATTTCCTCTCTATTATAATGTATATATATATATATATATATATATATATATATATATATATATATATATATATATATATATATATATATATATATATATATATATATATATATATATATAAGCAAGCATTCTTTATGTTTACAAATGCAATTCCTCATTCGTGTGAATAATTCATATGTGTATTTAAAATTATATTTTTGTTTGTAAACATCAAAATTAAGGGTACGTAACCATATTTGGTCTAACAAATTCCTTTTTCGTAGCACTATTTTTCACGAAATTTATTTCTTTGCCAAAAAACCAAAGGAAAAAAGAAAATGGAAAAGGCAAGCAAAAATAAGAAAAAGTAAAAGTGAAATTAAAAATAATTCCAAAAGCAAGAAAGAATTAACCATAAAAGAAATATCACATGAAAATTTTGTATAGCTACCATTCGTTCAATGGAAAATGTCTGGAAACAAAAATTAATTCCGGGTAACTCTAGAATTCCAAATAAATCCTATTCACATTCTGGTCCCAACATGGATCTAGAAATATATTCGCTTTAATAATTGAAATAAATATTAATTTCATTATAAGGTTATAAATTTATCGAACATGTGGAAAGAGAATAGATGTTTAAAATGATTACGCATTCAATAAACAATAAACACTAAAGAAAGCCCAAACACTAAACCCAATAAGAAAAGTGAGAAACATTATGCCTTTGAATAGAATTTAAGGTCAACTTTTAGCATTTCATTACTTTCGCAAATCATGGTCGGTTAGGTCTAGCCAAAAACGACCAATATAAAATTTGTGTTGGGTTCTTCATACGGTGGAGTCAAATAATCCACTTTGATAACGCTATTAGAAGATAATCGTGATTGAGACACAACTAAATATTAAATGTTGCCATTTCCTTTAACAATAATTCAAATTTTGATTCATCTTCTTGTGGTAGATTTAATGTGTTTTTGGTTTTTCAGTTGAATCCAACGTAACGTGAATCCATTACTTATGTTTGCTTCTACTTTTTTTTTTTTTTTATCTTGAAAAGTGAAAAAACCTGGTTGATTGATGTTTCAATGGAAAAATAAATATATCACTAGTTTATGTTCTCTATCCAATTGTGATTAACTAAGACATTATATTTTAAATGAATTCGTATTCCACTTAATCAACGAAGAATCACTTGTGTTGATTGATCAATAGATTCTAACATCATTGACCATATAATTTTTTTATGGAGGTTTTAAAAATTATATTTTTCAATAAATTATGGATTTCATAATATCATTAAAAGTATTGATCATTAAGAAAATATCATTAGAATTGAACTATATCCATTTATCCTAAAAATACTTTTAATCTTTGACTAATAAATATATATATATATATATATATATATATATATATATATATATATATATATATATATATATATATATATATATATATATATATATACCAAAACATCTTATTTTTAACTTTTTTTTTTATCACCAAAATCAGAGAAAAGTAAAGTAAAAGTAACACGTTTCTTGTTAACCAAAACATGTAAACTAAATATAAAACAAACCAAAAAATTATCCCTACAGTTTTTTCACACTCTCCATAAGCATAGAACCCTTCTTATTAACACAAAGTAAAATATTTTAAAGCAAGCTCTTTGTGCTTTATACCGTGACATGATAAAGTTCAGTGATAATTGACATATCAAACAATACGAATCAAGCCTTAAGAAGAAAAAATATTGTAAGACTCTTCACTGAACAACAAATTGGATAATGTATTTATTTTTCAACTCGCTTGAAATTTTTGCTCATGATTGGCCTAGGGTTCTGCGTAGGCTTCAGCAACCTCCTCCTACATATGTAGAAGTCAAGTCTGACATCATTTTGCTGGTGGTGACAGTAGTATCTTCCAGTAGTAGAAAAAAGGTTTTATCTTTATGTATAAATTAATTTTAATTTACACAAATTTTGTTCATAAAATATAATATTAGCATATCATAAATTCACATTTAACTTCATCTATCCCAAAACCATATATCCAAAACAAGTTTTATAATTATTAACGAAGACATGTAAATCAAAAAGGCAAACAAAAACAATCTCAAGATTTTTCACCTTCGTGGAACTATCAAAAAGAGAGAGAACCCCTTCTTACTTACACCAAGTAGAATATGTAAAAGCAAGGCCTTTATTCTTTATACCATGACATAATAAAGATCATCAGCACTAATTGATACTATAAAACAAGAACGAATCAAGAATATAAAAAGCTGATTGATATATAGAATACATCTTTTCTTTTCTTTTCTTTTCTTTTCTTTTCTTTGTTCCAAGATGGAGCATGCAAGCATGTAACATCCCAGCAGGTCCTTTTCCCCCACGACTTGGCTTTTCCAACATTAAATGTGTGGGGCACCACCCTCTGTGTCCATACCCTAAACGAACTGGTGGGTACACATGCCTCCCTTGTTTCATCTGTAGTCGTCAACAACGACTCCTGCGGCTCCCTTTGCTGATAGGGTTAGGAGGTTTTGTCCCTCTGCATTTACCAGCATTTACCAGCATTTGGTTTATAAACTGAAATTACATCTATTTATATTACACTAAAAAACTGAACATCTCATGTTGAACATATGAAACTGGATATTTATAATGGTATCTAACAATTTTATACAAGAAAAGGTTGAAGCACATGTTGGTGCCAATGAAAAATCAGAAGGTTATTATATAATATTCGTGGGAAATCTCTTATCAGTATAAATCCCCCTGCACAGATATCAATTCAGATGAACTGGACTTGCTAGAGGTCAATATTGACCACACTGTTGTTTATAGATCATCATGCAAGTGATCTTGTTCGAAATAAAAATCTGTTCTATATGGTATATTTTAATGTTGGTGGTACCAGTACTTGAAAAATAGGACTTCATTAATTATTGTTATTCTTTTGTCACAGATTGTTACAAATTGCACAAGCCTATGATTGTACAAGAGAGTTGACTAAATTTAAAATCTTTCACGTATACACACTGAAACATGGTAAAAACGGGTTGTGTAATAAGGAGCTTTGGGTCCCGTGTCAGAGATTCTAGGTCAGGCCTAACAATTATGGACATATGTACCTAGGTTAGGTCTAACACTTTATATAAATATGTTCCTAATGTCATTGAAAATGTACACTCCATGTAGTTGTTTGCTAACTTAAGCATCCAATTGTTTTTCAACAGGTGCCTTAGACCAGATTGGATTTGTAGAGTTGAAATTAATGGATTAAAATTATTTATAGATTATGTTTTTTCTTCAATGTCTTCAAATAAAAAATATTAAATCACTTTTAATTTTATATTTTAATTAAATTTAAATTATTCATTAAATATATGACGTATTCAATTAGAAACAACGGAATTTTTGAAGTACTTTAACGTGATTATAATATCTTTAATTTAGGTTTAAAAGTGCTGGTAAAATTAGAACAAGACAAATTAATTTGCATGTGTGGTAGTTATTGCAACATTGCTTTTAACATTATATTAGATGAATGTCATAATAAATAAGTCAAATGACGTACCACTTCATTTCTATCAAAGAACTATCATACAAATTTAATTTTGTATTATTATAATGATATTAAATTCACTACTTAAAATTTGAAAGACCAAAATGAATATTTTTAAATTTAAAAGTTGACTCCAATTGAGACACGGAGACATGATCTTTCACCAATTGGAAACAGAGAAAGGTGAAGGTTGGGAAAGTGTGGTTTTAGTTGGTGGAATTAATTCGAGACCAAGATCGAGTAATCCCTCACAAGATTCACTTGTCGACATGCTCGAATTAAAGAAGCTTGATCGTGGGCAAGTTTTCAGTTGCCCTAATTATGTTTGTCATCTTCATGTTGGAACAAGAATGTTTATATCTTAAGTTTATTATTGAGTTATTTCGAAACTCAATTTCGTTACCATTTTTAATAGATTATTAAGAGTAAAAATTACATATAAATTATCTTTGATCATCATCTTTAAGAATGTATAGTAGGACGAGAATCAATTTTAGTTTGTGACTTTTTGTCCGTGGCATTATTTAGGTTCATATATGAAAAAATGGTGGAAAATGATGATGTGATTAATCAATGTCGAAGTGGACCTACCAGTTGTCCCCATCAACAGTTGCAGAGGAAGCAAGTAGTGAAGTTTATAGCAACAACTATGGCGTGGTGTGGGAACACGAACCAAACGAAGAACAAGTTGCATTTTATTTATTTATTATTATTTTTTTCTTGAGAGAAGAAGCATCTATAAAGTCAATGAGGTCATAATTACGCAAAAAAATGGAGTGTGGACGTAGGCATCAAAAGGGTGCGAAATAATGTAGCATTTGATTAAAATTCCAATGTGGTGGACCAGTTTGGTTTGTGTCACTTTGGGTACTTACGTTGCTATATATGCTTGTAGTGGAAATTAAGGTATGTGACTATGTATCACCCTGTCCAAAGATAAAGCTCAGCAATTCTTGGTCCATGTGCCTTTCATTACCAACATTCATGTCTTATGTAATAACTTTTTTTCACCTCATTATTTCTTTTTATAAATTGTATTAATTACACAAAGTTAGCAATTTGTTATGTTAAGATTAAAAAATCGATACTTTTTTAACTTTTTAAGTTATTACGTGTCACTATTAACTATCTTATATGGATCTCAAACTTTATATATATTATAAACATGTGCTATTTCTAAAAAACATTCAAGATCTCTAAAATAAATAGTAATATTTCTTAAATAAATTTTAAGAATTAAAATAATGATTTTAAAGTTTTGATAAAAAAAACATGAATATTATATTTTTTAACAATTTCAAAAATAAATGATTTTAAAATTTTAAAGTAATTACTTTAGAAAAGCTAAAATCAAAATTTAGTCATGTTATAAACCATAATTAGGGCATATTATATTAAGAGGCAATTGTCCCCAGATTTTTTCTTTTTTATGTTTATATATTTATCATTTTTTTTTAATTTTTCTGTGTAAAAAAATAGTATGAGACTTATGAGATGATTTTTTTTCGACGAATAAGATGAAAGAGAAAATAAAATAGTGCTAATTTGATTCCTTTATCTTTGTAAATTTTTTTTATAATATCAATGAAAAAAATATACATTTTAAATATGAAAATATGTAGAGAAGAATTATAATTTTGCGAGAACATAAGTTTAGGTTTTGTTATTCTTTAACATTATGTATTTTGTAATAGCTTGTAATATTTTAAGTTATTTTCTACTTCTACAGAAACAAATTTCTAAAACTTTCACTGTTTATAAATACTAAAAATAATATTTTTAAACTTTCAAAGATTGGAAAAAAAATATATATATAATCACAAATTTCTGAATTCTTCACTATTAATTCATTTTTCAAAAATGAATGAAAAAAGAAAAAAGAAAAAAACATTACAAAAGACACAGTAATGTTTTGTAGAGGAAAAAAACACTTGTGTTTAAGCAAACAAAATTGAGACATCAAAGGAAAGTTGTCCATTTTTCATATTGTTGGAAAACTTGCACAAGGAAAGTGATTTTTTTTCTTAATTCTTAGGTATTGAAAAATGAAAGATAGTGGAAAACATATATAATGTGTGTGTGGCTATGAAGGATGAACAGAAAATTCTTGCAATGGAAAGAAAGAACAACGTAAAACAAAACTTACAGACAGTGAGTCATCTGAAATTGAGAATCCAGTTCCATCTTCTCTTTAATTGACTTCAATCATTTCACATCATGTTGAAAATTGTAACCATAAGAAAATAATGGTATAATCCAAATATTTCTTCTACAATTTTAATTGTAATAATAATAAAAAAATGTGCACCTAAGTCCCAAAACAAATCTCTTTAAAAAAATATGTTTTTAACACTGTACAAGGAAAAATATATACGTTGTGATAAGAAAGAACCTATCGATATTTTTTAAATTCTATTTCAATTTTTTTCTTAGGAAAGAACCCAGATACCTTTGGGATAAGAAAGAATATAATGATATATACATATTTTTGGGATAGGAAAGAACCAAAAGATTTTTTGGAATTAAATGTTGATATGTTAATAGATTCAATTTAGGTTCACTTTTCAATTTTTACATCTCTAAGTAAATGCCCTATACTTTTATTTTATTTTATTTTTCTTTTCATTTTTGAATTCAATATGGCATACTAAAAGGATAATATGTACATGATTGATAATTTAGCATAATTCTGTGGTTATCAAAATTTTAGACAATGATAAAAAAGGATAACAGAATATTAACCATTTAGTAAATTATAATATTTATTAATAAAGCTGTAAGATTTTTTTAAAAGTTTTGCATTTTTTAATATTTGATACCCAAAACTTATGAACATATAATTTTAATATATGATGTTAATTGAAATAACTATTTGATGTTGACAGAAATAATATTCTATAACACAGAAATCAAAATATAAAATGTAATAGACGTATTTTATTTATTTATTACTATCAATATAGAATCTGGTCTTTTTTTTTTTTTCTCTTTTTAGTGAAGGGTGAATAAAGGGACAAATTATAAGACAGAAATAGAATCACGCAAGAAATAATACAAAAACATCTGAAGTGGAGGAATCTCCGAATTTTGCATGATAATGAAATTAAACAAATCGTGTAAATAAATAAATATATGATTATTTTTGGAAAATAGAGATTTTTTTATTTTTATCGTTATATTTTAATTTAATTATTAAGATAAATCTTTTTAATAATAAAATAATAATAATATTATTATTGTTATTATTTTCACTCGTGTATGCATGGATGAGTATACGATATGATGATTGTTATTATATATGGATCCGAATTTTTAAACGTATGATTAAATCATACTAATTAATAATCGATATAATATTATATTATAATTATATATATAATATGAATATTAAATTTGATGTTTATTGTGTTTAACATTTCATGTGATTAGGCATGTTTGAGTTGGTTTGATTCTTGCATGTTCATATAAACGCAGATTTATATTTAGTATAAATATTAATTTTTAAATACATATATTATTCGACGTAACGAGTGATTTAGATTCATTATATCGTTATTATATTTATTATGTTATGTGTGCAACGAATTTTAAAATTAGATCTTTATAAAAATGATAAGATATTTACTATTAGATTAATATGATATTAATCTTTTAAATATTAGTGGACTATATTCATAAAAAAAATAATAACGTAGTTTTTCAGTGTTGAAAATATCTTCAGAGTTATGGTAAGCTACCACAACAAATAATAATAATAATAATAATAATAATAATAATAATAATAATAATAATAATAATAATAATAATAATAATAATAATAATAATAATAATAATAATAATAGATTAGAAACCCAACTCTACGAAACTACAATAAATTCTACAGGAAATAGCAATAGACAGTGATTTGATAGAGTTTTCTTTGGTCAACTCACGTGTTGATTTAATAATTTAGAATAATAATTTTATGAACAGTAAAAGTGGTGTCTCTATCTTGATCTGGTTACCTCTTACGGCATTATCATGAATTTGTTTTCTTTTGATCTTTGTTTTGTTTTGTTTTGCCCTGGTCTTTGCCACTTGGCTCTATGGTAGAATACACAACATGATGGCTGCATATGCTTAGCATAATAACACTCACCACCCCAAAAATCAAACCAAAGAATAATCAAAAGCAAAATAGGAGTGCTTTAAACGCAATGAATTCACACTCATTTTGACTTCAATCAATGCATTGGGATCACTCCTTTTAGGTCTAGAGAGCCAAGTGAAGAAAATTTTGCATTAACAAGTTGCAT